GTTGTTCTTTGGTAAACTGGCTATTATAAAAACACCATGGCATCATTGAGCCCAGTGTGAGTGCTGTAGAATGCTCTTACTGTAGCTTTTCTGATTTTAAAATAATTTAGACTACGTCTGGCTGGATTTGGATGTGTAGTTGCATATGAAAACATTTCTGGCTGAATAAGAATTTAAATTTAAATGAGTTAAATCAATTGGCATGAAGAGAATGAAGATATTATTTTATTTTCTTAAAACTCAATGTAACCGAGATGAAAATATATAACTGTATTTGAGCTCGTGGAATCTGCTCTAGGCAAGGATGATCTGAGAAAAATGAATGCATTAGATGCAGTCACTATACAAAATTCTTCAGAACTAAGATATTTTGTTTTCCTGAAGTAAATCTCAAGTTGAAGTAGAATTACATTGTTAGTCCGGTTCTTTAAACATTTCACACAATATTTGCCTTTGTCCACTGCTCAACTCTCTATATCAAGGTGAAGTCAGTGGTGGGATTCAAATAATTAAAAAAACTGGTTCTCTTCCCTAATGACCAGCTGAATAGACGTGGCTCAGTGGTCATGTGACAATGTGTGACAACATCACTCAGGTTGATGGACATTTCACCTTAGCTGTTACAATGTAATAAGGGTTAACCAGAGAGGCAATTTCTGTAAGCAGGGCAATAAAGATTAGGCTAGAAATAACACCAGAATGTTTCCTTCCTGCCTTCCTTACAGGATTAGCCCTGTAAAGTGGAAGAAAACAAAATAAGATTTCTTCCAACAACCGGTTCTCCGAACTGCTTAGAAAGTTAGCAACCGGTTCTCCCGAATAGGTGCGAAGTGGCTGAATCCCACCACTGGGTGAAGTGCAGTGCAAGTTATCATGTTGTTATGATTGCAAAGTAGAATTGATTTTATTACCAAAAATGTGTTTGATGATGACTCAGCATTTCCACTTGCTTCTTTTTGAGCTAGGTTGTTCAGGGGATACAACCTTATCAGGAACAAAACCTTTGCAATTCTTTAATTTTACATTAGATCACATAATTTAAATACTTTAATTTTTAAATGATGCTGAACTACAGGTAGTCCCTTTTGGTTAGGATACTTATACTTTTTTTTAAATAAGAGAAAAACAATTAAGTTAATTCAATGGATTATCCTTACAATCCCTCCCACCCCCCGGTATTTATGTTTATATTTTATGTTTGGTATAAACTCTACACAAGACTAACTGCTCCATATAATTTCCACAGTTCTGTTCATGTTTGCAATAATTTCATCCAGAAAAATTACAAAAATGCATCAGATCGTAGTTGTCAGTTGCCATATCACAACATGTGGTCCAGTAGCAAATTCCAAGAGTATCTGCAGAAGAGAGGCCTTGGCCATGTTTGGTGCAACATCATCTATCCATCTATGAAAAAAATCCTAATATATATAATGAAGATGGCTCAGGAGCAAGTGGAAGCACGAAGGAGCAGCTTTGAACTGTATGGAGCCGATTTCATTCTTGGCAGCGATTTCAAACCTTGGTTGATTGAAATCAATAGTAGCCCAACGATGCATCCTTCTACTCCGATTACAATGGACCTTTGTGCTAAAGTGCAAGAAGACACAATGAAGGTGGTGCTTGACAAGAGGCTTGAGAAAAATTGTGAAACTGGAAATTTTGAACTTTTGTGGAGACAAGTAAGAAGCATTTCATTTTGTTCCCTAGCTGAGTAGTATACAAAATAGCTTGATTCTAACTATGTCTAACTAGTGGTTAGAGAAATTAGAAGCATGGTTTCAGAATTTGAATAATAGTAATGATGGAGAAATATGAAATTCTACTTCCAGGAGAATGTCCTCTCCTTTTGCAAAATTGAATTTTAGTAACTTTGAAAGAGTTTTGACATAATGCTGTTTTATTTCCCTGGGTGTCTTTAATAGATCCTAATGATAACGGCTTGTTTTTTTTAAACTTGCTAATATGGAGTCAAACATTTTTTGTTGCAATGCTTAACATTTGTTGCATGGGGTTGCAGGTTCCACTTGCTTTTGCATCATACTTGCTTATAGATCTCTTAAGAATGGGGTGAAGTCCACGGTAGACAATTTAAGGTTAACGTTTTGGGGGTTTGAGGATGTAACAACAGAGTTAGGTAGTGCATTCTAGGCATTGACCTATTGCTGAAATCGTTTCTGCAATCACGTTTGGAATAGTTTACTTTGAGTTTGTATCTATTGCTTGCCCGTGCATTATTGCGGTTGAAGATGAAGTAGTCCTTGACAGGTAAGACATTGTAGCAAACAATTTTGTGTACCTAACTTAGGTCAGACCATAGGTGGCATAGTTCTAGGTTGTCCAGGTCCAAAATTTCCAGCCTAGTGGCATAAGCTATTGCGAACAGAGGAGTAGCGTATTCTTCTCATGAAATACCTCTGGACTTGCTCAATTGTATTAATGTCCATTATACAGTGTGGATTCCAGGCAGATGAGCTTTATTCGAGAATTGGTCTGGCAAAGGTTTTGTATGCCCTGGTTTGCAGTACAGTGTTATCGGAGAAGAAGCTTCACAAAATTAGGTTAACAACTCTTAATGCATTTTTGGCAATGCTGTTACATTAGATCTTTTGAAATGAGCAATTTCCGGTTGCCGCCCTAGCTATTCCATTATGCTACCTTTCATAAAATTAAACTATTAAACTATTCCCTATATTAAATACATTATGTGTAGCTCTCCTTTTATTTTTAATGCACCTGAATAAACCACTTCCCATTAGTCATTCGTTCTGAAAACTCCTCTAAAATGTAAATGCAGCCCCTTCCCTGAATAATCAAATGCCCCCTTTTTGATGCTCCTACCGAACATGGTTGTGGAAAGATTTTGTGAAGCAGAAGTGGTGAGTAGAGAAAAAGCTTCCCTTTTGCATGGGGTGGCCCTGTCAAGTTTAGGTCCTTGCATGCTTGTATCAGTGTAAAAGGCATTGGCTCACTAAGTATTCAGCACAATCAAATGAAGATTAATACATAATCTTGCTAAACAATGCTAGCTGTGATTATATCAAAACAACAGGCTTTGAGACTGATTTTGGGGGCTAGCACCAGGAAAATGTTTTCCAAGATACTTGGAATACCTTTTCAGAAATAACTTTAGAAATAAAAAAGGCAATTTGGTGTAGTGGTTAAAATGTTGGCCTAGAAAGCAGGAGATTTTGAGTTCTTGTCCTGCCTCAGGCATGAAAAATCGCCTTGATAATGTTGGACCAGTCATTGTCTCAGCCCAACTCATCTCATAGAGCTGTTGTGGGGAAAATAGAGAAGAAGTGATGGTACTGTATGTTCACCACCTCGAGTTATATATGAAAAAAAGTAGAATAAAATCTAAAAGAGAGAGAGAGAGAGAGAG